CCCCAAAACCCCAAAACCCCAAAACCCCAAAACCCCACTTTTTGACAGAATATAAATAACTTTTGTTTTCTGTAATTTTCACAAATGGAAGATAGTACCAGCTCACCAAAATTTAAGGTAGTAATGGGGTCAGGTCCGTCCCAGACAATAAAAAGATTGAACAAATCGCCTGAAAATTATGAACAGTTGACTAAAATGATCAAATCAAAACTCAGCGAACGCCTGTTCAATAATCACCCATTCTATATTTATTACGAAAATATTTCAAATGAAATGATTAAAATAGAAGATGATATAGACTTAGAATGAGCCATTGACTCTTGAACAGGTAAAGAGAAACACTCAATCAAGTTACACAGTAAGTAGGCATCTCTGCTTCGTCCTGACAATTTTTAGTATACCTTGAACCAATAGAAAATAGCAAAGAGCAAAGTGATTACAAGTCTACTGACCCTGATAGACCAAGTGATGATAATTACAGTGACTTTTGAGAAAGTGAAGAAATAAAAAGGATATTGCAAGACCATCCTTTTAGACCTGGAGAGCTACAGCAAATTGGCCAATTATATAAAGATTCTATAGCTCGAGCTAGAGAAGAACTAACACGGCTTCAAAATCAGCAGCAAATTCATCTTCAAGAAAACTCTGATCAAAATGAAAAAGGTCAGCCAGACCCATTATCCCTTCTGGTAAAAGATACTGAGAGTGATTTCAGTTCATCTTCTCTCTATGAAGAGAGTGAAGAATCTGAAGAGGATTCTGATATAAAAGATATTGAGAATCATAATCCTTCTTTCTTACAGTACTCAAACGAAGAGGAGAAGCTAAAGTTTGAACCAAAACCTGTCCAAAACGAAGGAGTTTTATCAGAAATTCCCCAGCAAAGCCCTCAAAAATTGCCAGAGTCTGTAAATCCAGAGGGGAGGCACTCTGTAAAACAAATGGACGAGTTGAATGAGTTACAGCAAGAATTCTCAGACATTAAAATTTCCCATATAAGTCCAGACCCACCTGGTCAGAAGAAGCCAAAGCTTTGCTGAGAAAGGCTCTCTTTCAATGCAAAAGATGGGATTATCAAGAGGAACTCTGAATCTGAATCCGAAGACTTTCAATCTGACAAAAATGGATTTAGTTGCCATAGTCAGAGATTTAAAGGCAATGAAATGTACCAGCATGAAGTGAACAGTGAAATGCCAGAATGAGTGTTTAGAAGTAAGCCTTTAACATAATTATGGCATATTTATCCTGGTTTAAACTCTATGCGTATTCTATTTAACAAAGCAAATATTTTATCAGCTCTTGCTACTTCTTCAAAAGTAATTAATCCAGGTGAATAATAAAAGTATCCTTTTCACTATTAATTTTGCCGAACATTTTTAAATAGATTCTTCATTATCAGACCCAAGCAAGCTTGAAGAGGAAAAGAGCGTAGCAATGAGTAAACAGATGGACGTTCAATACGATGTTTATGAAAGTGTGTTTGCACGAAGAATATGTAAACTAGCCACAGAAGAACTCCCACGCATGTCTCCATTAAAAACTTTTGGGTCCTTCCTCAAGACTTCCTTTGTCGGAATGGATGAAGAAGAAGCAGACCAGCTCCTTCGTGTTGACGAAGAAATTATTGAATATAGTAATGAGGACATCATAAGTGTTAAGCCTGGCAGTGTTGTGAGAAAGTGCTGGAGAGTCAAAAATATCGGAACAAGACAATGGCCACAAGATACCAGACTTGTGTCTGTCACAGATAATCTCTTCTTCATTGGACCTCAAATTCATCAGTTCCTCAAACCTGGGGAGATGATGGATCTCGGTATTAATATCTATATCAATCCTCAAGAAGATGGTGATAATAATATCCAGGAGTATATCGTAAGGCTGTACTCTAAGCAATACAAATGATTCGGACAACCAATGATCGCCACTTGTCACATAGATACTAATTTATATAACGAATCTCTCAAAAACCAGAACGAAGAAGATTTGAAATTCATAAGAGTAGTTTCTGAAGGGAAATTGGTTGAAAACTACGAAATTGCAAGGAAGATCAGCATCAACGAAGGCGATCCTTTTGAGGCTACAGTGTTTAACCTATGCCAAGGCGATAACTATAAACATCTTAATTGCTAATCATCATTGCTCTCAAAAATTTGGAGTAAAATGGGGTTTTGGGGTTTTGGGGTTTTGGGGTTTTGGGG